GTAGGCTGTTGTCTGTTGTCTGAGGCAGGCTGTCCGGGGGCTGTTGTCTGTGAGGCAGGCTGTCCGGGGGCTGTTGTCTGTGAGGCAGGCTGTCCAGGGGCTGTTGTGGTAGGCTGTTGTCTGTGAGGCAGGCTGTCCGGGGGCTGTGCTGCAGGCGGCTGGGCCGGCAGGGCGGGGAGCTTCCTCTGCCTGGCTCAGGTGCCCGCTGTGTCTTTTTTTTTTTTTTTTTTGTCGGTCGTGGGGCTTGAACTCTTGGCCTGGGCGCTGTCCTCAAATTCAGTTTGACGAGCACTCTAACACTGGAGTCACAGCACCACTTCCAGGTTTTTCTGCTTATGTGGTGCTGAGGAATCGAGCCCAGGGCCTCATGCATGCGAGGCAAGCGCTCTACCACTGAGCCGCCTTCCCAGCGGCCCCGCCCCACCCCTCCCTGTCTTTGCAGGCCAGGAACAGCGTGAACGGGAGCTGGAGCTGCACTCGCCCACCCATGTGGACATCAGCAGGAACCTCAGCTTCATGGCCAGATTCTCTGAACTGCAGGTGACACTCGGGAAGGGGTGCTGCTGCCAGGGCTCGTGTGGTTGGTGGGGCTGCTCATGGCCCTCGGGTTGGCGGAACGCAGTGTGCAGGCCCCTGCTGTGGTCTCAGTGGCATGCATAGTCGGCACTGCCGGCCCAGTACCAGGAAAAGCCAGGGAACCAGGCCCTGCTCCCTGTGACATTGCAGCACTGGTGGCTTGGGCCCCGCTGAGCAGCGGAGGGCCGGGCGTCCTCCCTGCAGGGCCCGCGGGCACTCGTTCTGTCAGACCACAGGAGCCCAGGGTGGGCCTACCCCCCAGGCCCCGCCCAGCAGTGCCCGCTCCGCCTGCCTTGCTGTGAGCGCATCACTGCGACACATCCATGTGCATCCTGGCGCCTCTGGAAGCCCCACCTTGTGCTCTTGCAGTGGAGGATGCTGACGCTGCGCGGTGAGGACTCAGAGCACAAGTACAGCTCCACCCCCCTCGAGTGGGTTACCCTGGACTCCAACATCGCCTACTGGCTGCACCCCAGCACCACTGTGAGTGAGACACACTGAACACCACGCCTCCCCGGGAAAGTTCCCTCTGTGTCCATTGAGAGTAGCCACTGTGAGCAGAGGAACAGGGTCCAAAGCTCGCAGCAAAGTCCATGAAACTGTTTTTCCAATGAACCAGCAAAATGGTAGACTGGAGGAATGGCTCAAGTAGTAAAGTGCCAACTTAGTGAAAAGCTGAGGGACAGTCTTGAAATCGGCACTAAATAAATGAGTGTCCATTGCATTCTCCAGAGCCCTTCCTAGCAAAGGCCTGGGGCCTCTCCTCTCTAGACTCTGGGCAGCTGGAGGCCAGCTGGAGGTCAGGGCTCCGAGGCGTGAGGCCTCATGTGGAGGCCCAGGAAGCAAGCCCAGGCTTCCTTCCAAGGCTGCTGTGCTGCCTTGACTTGTTACATTGTCACTGAACAACTGAGTGACAGAGTGTCCCTGTCCTCCTCCCTCTCAAAGCAGAGGGTACACTGCAAAGTAAAAGCACAGGCAGTGGCCTGAGCTACCCGCACAGAGCGCTGGGTGAGGAGACTTTTATTGTCTTTCTGCACCTAGCTTTGTCATAAAAAATGCATCTGGAGCTGGGTGCTGGTGGCCAGCTCCTGCAGTCCCAGCACTCGGGGTCAAGGAAGAAGTATTGCCAGTTTGAGGCCAACCTCAGCTACATAGTGAACCATGTCTTAAAAAAAAAAGCTGGGCACCAGTGGCTCACACCTATAATCCTAGCTACTCAGGAGGCTGAGGGCTGAGGATTGTGGATCAAAGCCAACCTGGGCAGGAAAGTCCGTGAGACTCATCTCCAATAAACCACTTGAAAACCCGAAGTGGCTCAAGTGGTAGAACCTAGCCTTGAGCTGAAGAGCTCAGGGACAGCATCCAGGCCCAGAGTTCAAGTCCCATGACTGACCCCCCCCAAAAATGGAAAGAGTGTGTGATTGACACAGTGCCTTGTGCCTGAAATTCCAGCTACTCAGGATACGGAGATCAGGAGAATCGTGTCAAGGCCAGCCACCCTAAGCAAAAAGTTAGCCACGCCCCATCTTACCCAGTGACCAGGTGTGGCCCTGTCAGGGAGAAAGCATGAGGGGAGGGTAGTGTCCAGTCCCGCCCTGACAGGCACAAGACTATCCCAGAAATAATGAACTAGAAAAGGCCTGGGGTATATTTCAAGTAGCAGACCACACCTGTCTAATGAGTAGGAGGCCCAGTCTTCAAACCCCAGTATTTTGAGAGAGAGGAGGGAAGGAGGGAGGGGAAGGAGGAATCAATCTGGGCACTGGGGGAGTATCTCACTGGCATGCACAAGGCTCTGAGTTCAATCCTCAGCACCAAACACAGGAATCTTCATTTACTTACAGTTTTCAGTCTTAATGTACAAAATTAAGAATGTTAGGCTGGGCACTGGTGGCTCACGCCTATAATCCTAGCTACTCAAGAGGCTGAGATCATAGGATTATGGTTCGAAGCCAGCCTGGGCAAGAAAGTCTTCCAATTAACCAGCAATAAGCCACAAATGAAGGTGTGGCTTAAGTGATAGAGCACCAGCCTGGAGTCTAAAAGCTAAGTATGAGCACAAAGTCCTGCATTCAAGCCCCAGTACTACACCAAAAGAGAGGGAGCGTTTTCTAGAATGGCGACAGTGGGCACTAGTCCCTTGAGGTCAGGGGTCAGGCAGAGTGGGCCTGTGTGTGGAAAGCTCCTCAGGGTTCTTCCGTGTGGCTGCTCCACCTGGGGAGGTTGGGCGGCTCCTGCGGGCTGGGAGGGCGGGGCCAACACCCCTCCCCCACACTTCCAGGCTCAGATCCACCTGCTGGGCAACGTGGTGATCTGGGCCTCGGCCAGCCTGGCCACGGCAGCCCACGCCCTGCTCTTCCTCTGGCACCTGCTCCGACGCCGACGGCGGGCCTGTGACCTCCCTGAGGGTGAGTGGCGCGCAGGCGCTTCCCAGCCCTGCAGACCAGGCTGTCAGGGAGAAGACGGTTCCACTCAGGCACTAGGTAGAGCCCCGAGGGGCAGCGCGGCCGGCTGGGGACAGAGCAGCTTGGCAGCGCGGTGCATGTCTGCAGTGGAAAGGCACTGGGCACAGGTGTCCATGGGGGCTCGTCCTCTGCCACTGGTCTCTGCTGTGGTCAGGGCTGGGCAGTGCCAGCCCCCCAGGGAGCAGGGGAGTGGAATTTCCAGATGAGGTAAGACTTGCCCAGACTGCGTCTGATGTGCCCAGACAGTGAGCCGAGGCAGCTGGGCTGGCCCTCCCAGGGCCGGGACCTGGCAGAGGTCAGGATTGTTGAGGCCTAGGAGGAGGCCGTAGGTCCCTACCTGCAGGGTGGGCATGATGGGGAGCAACTGAGCGTGGAGGATGTGAGTGTCTTGGGGTACCTGGCACACTGGCCCATGGGTGCTGATACATGCCCTCCACAGATGCCTGGCACCGCTGGGTGCTGGCCGGAGCCCTGTGTACTGGAGGCTGGGCGCTCAACTACTTGCCCTTCTTCTTCATGGAAAAGACGCTCTTTCTCTACCACTACCTGCCTGCGCTCACCTTCCAGATCCTTCTGCTCCCACTTGTCCTGCAGCACATCAGTGACCACCTCTGCAGGTCCGGGCTTGGTGGTAGGGCTGGGGGGTCACAGGCTGCTTGTGTCATTTGGCAGGGGAGGCAGTCACAGGAAAAGTACCCTGGACAATCAGAGCAGGGGTCGGGAGGGCATCTGTGACTCTAGGGCAAAATCCGAGGCTGGGAAATGTGGGCATTGGAGAGTAAGAGTGGCATGCTGTCTGCTCAGAGGGGCCAGGGCTCAGCCCAGTGCTCCCATCTCAGCAGGGCCTTGATGTGGTGGCACTGGCTTGGGCATGTGCCAAGTTGTGGTGAGTTAGAGCCTGGTGCATCCAGGCAGTGACTGAGCCATGCAGGTAAAGGCCACAGGCCGTGGCAGCTGTTTGTGTGGACAACAGAGCCAGGGGCAGGTGGCTCACACCTGTAATCCTAGCTACTAGGAGGCCAGGATTGCCCATGGCGTGGAGGATTGCGTTTCAAGGCATCAAGCCACCAGCTCCAAAATAACCAGCAAAAGTCCCCATGTGGTAGCCAAGCAAACAAGTAGTGATGGCAAGGCCCTGAGTTCAAACCCTAGTACCACCAAAAGGAAATCATGTGGCCAGGTAAAGGAGCTGTGGGGGAGACCAGCCAGGCCTCCCGAGCGAGCTCCGCACCGCTGCCCGCAGGTCCGGGCTGCAGCGGAGCCTTTTCAGCGCCCTGGTTGTAGCCTGGTATTCCTCCGCCTGCCACGTGTCCAGCACCCTGCGCCCGCTGACCTATGGTGACAAGTCACTCTCAGCAGATGAGCTCCAGGCCCTTCGCTGGAAAGACAGCTGGGACATCCTGATTCGGAAGTACTAGACCTACACAGTGAGGCACGAGGCGGGGGGCGCGTGTGGGGGGCACTGGCGGAGGGATCTGCTTTTGAAACCGCACGCGTGCCTCCAACCTGCGCCTCATTGGGCAAGGTTCATTTTCTCCAAACAATGAGGAGCGAGCGCCGCCACATCCTCGTCCCTGTGGCCGCTGAACTCCAGCCGCCTGTGAAGGAATCAGGAAGGTTCTGGAGTGCCGAGTGGCAGACCTCACGCGTGATCCGGGCCAGGGAGGCTCACCCACGCTGTCACGTCCCGCCCCATCTAGAGTTTGCGCCCTGTGCAGACTTTCCTGTGTAAATAAAGAAGACACTCCGGCAGTCTTTTTGTAGGTGTTTATGGGCTGAAAGTCAATCATTACAGTGAACAGAAACCAGTGCTCAGCTGCAGCCGGGCCAGCCGTGAGCCTTGCACAACCGGAAGGCAAGGGCCTTGGCTGCCTGGGAGTGAAAACGCATTGCTGGTGAGGCCACGTGTTCCAGTGTGACACGCCCGAGACCATCTGGCATTAGGCCGTGTCTCTGTGGGGCTGGAGGCGGCCTGCCCTGCTGTCCACTGCACTGGACAACCACAGCCATTGCTCCACCGCTGCTGCCGGGAGCCCCGCCTCGCGTGTGCTGCTGCTGCCTGCAGTGAGTGTGGTTAGGCCCGGAGTCCGGGACCAATCCGTCCAAGGTTCAGGTCAGCGCTTGCTTGCTCGCTCGCTTGCTTGGTGGGCCCCAGCCTGGCTGGCTTCCTGAACCAGGTTTGGGGCCCAACTGACTTTGCATTAGGAAAAAGAAAATGGCTCAAAGTGCGCTTCGGTGCTGTGCATGTGAGCCACGGCTCAATGTGGACTCCTTCCTGACACCAGGCCAGCCGGGGCCTGCTGCCCTGGGAAGCAACACCTCAGGCCACCCCAAGGGGTCATCCACCCCCCTCGGCCAGAGGGAGCAGTGCACGTGGAATGCTTGGCCCTGTGGGAACGAATCCGCCCTCAGGAGAAAGGCCTGGGTCCTGACGCCGCCCGGGAGGCCCAGCTACCTGTTCAGAGCAGGTGAGCGCCCTGGCCGCACTCGGGCCCCTTAGTGGGGTCTGCTGCTGGACTCCAGGTGGGACCGCTTGCCGGAGGCCAGCACCCCGGGGCGGTCCCCGGGCTCGGGGAAGGTCCTCTTGAAGTTGCGCCCGTTGGCTCCTCCTCGGTGCCGCTTGCACACGTCACCGTTGAGAATGTCCTGGATGTGCTGCACGATCAGGTTGATGGCGACTATGGCAAGATGGGGCACTCAGAGGGTCCCCACCCCGCCTGCCTGCCCGCCCAGCCCACGGCCCCCGGATGGAAATGGCACAGTAGGGCTGGGCACAGCTGTCATCCGAGCTACTCGGGAGACTGATCTGAGGACCAGGGTCTGAAATCAGCCTGGACAGGAAAGTCCAATCAGCAAAAAGCTGGAAGTAGAGGTGCAACCCAAGTAGTAGTGTGCTAGCCTTGAGCAATAAAGCTAAAGGACAGCATCCAGGACCTGAGGTCAAGTTCAAGTACCAACACACACATGTACACATGTGCATACAAAGAAACCACAGGATAGGATAGGACACAGCCTGGTTAGAGCCCATCCTGCTCCACCGAGCACCATCCGGCAGCTGAACATGTCCAGTGTGTGCTGTTGGCACATGGTGACAGCCCTGCTTAGTGGAGGGAGGGCAGGAGGCTGGGGGAGGAGGCTGAGGTGGAGTCTCACCCATGTTGTCAACGCCCCGAGGAATGATCACATCGGCATACTTCTTAGTCTACAAAGCAAGGAGTTCCCATGAGGCTTAGGTGCAGAGGGGGGGAATTGAGGCCCCAAAGTGCCGGTGTTACCAATGCAGGGGACAGGGCCTCAGGTGGGTGCCAGCTGGGTGAGCTGTGACCACAGAGGTGGCAGGAGCCAGGTCACCAGCAGAGGCGGCCAGCATCACCCCACACCATCCCCACTTCCTTGTCTCCCAGGCAGGGGACAGCTCTCCTACTCAACGGTCAATCTCTGGGCCACATTAGGCGAGGCGCCTGCCAGTGCATGGCCTTGTCCCTCTGGAATTGTGGCTCTTTCTGCAAGCCCCGTGGTGGAGCAGGACGGGACAGCCCGAGGGTCATTAGCACAGGGCCCGGACACCAGCGGCACCCCCTCAGCTGCTCTGCTGCGGGGAGCACACCTGAGTCAGGCAAACCCCGGGCAGGGAGGACGCAGGCCCGGGACACAGGGGTCAGCTGGCAGCAGGGAAAGGAGGTCCAGGAACATTTCCTCTACTAGGTCACCAGGTCAGATCTAACATCCATTTTGCCCATACCACCTACCCTGCCAACTTCCTTCTGTGAATAGGTACATCTGCCTACTTACCTCCCCTATTTTGCAGAAACCTTAGAGAACATGAATTAAAAAAAAAAAAAGCCTTTTGAACCAGGTGCTGGTGGCTCACGCCTGTCATCCTGGCTATTCAGGAGGCTGAGATCTGAGGATTAGGGTTAAAAGCCAGCCAGGGGGAATGAGAAGATGGCTCAGTGGTAGAGTGCTTGCCTCGCATATATGAGGCCCTGGGTTCGATTCCTCAGTACCACATAAGCAGAAAAAAGCCAGAAGTGGCACTGTGGCTCAAGTGATAGGATGCTCGCTTGAGCTGAAGAGCTGAGGGACAGCGCCCAGGCCCAGAGTTCAGGCCCACAACCTGAAAAAAAGCCTTTTGGTGGTGGTGTGTGTGTGCACACACCAGTCTTGGGGCTTAAACTCAGGGAATTGTCCCTATGTGTTTGCTCAAGGCTAGCAATAACTGGGAGAGCAGAGTCTCACCAAGCTTTGCTGGCCATGAAGAGCCATCCTTAGGTCTCAGCCTCCCAGGGCTGCGTGAGTCACCAGTGTCTGGCTCGCTTGCTGCTGCTTCAAGCAGGGCCACCATGGAGCCCAGGCTGTCCTGGAGCTCATAATCCTACCAGTGCTGGTATTACAGGAGTACACCACCACATCATATAAAACATATTCTTACAGAACTCAGTTACCCTACTTTTCTGTGATCCTAGATTTTTGTCTCTCTGTACTGCACTTTTACCTCTAAAAGACAAAATACGAGCTGGGTGGGGTGGTGCAGGCCTGGTGCCCAGTGCTTGGGTGGCAGAAGCCCAGCAAACACTTGGCAAGCTCCATGCCCTTGTGGAGGGGGTACTCCACAACCACGCAGGTTGTGTCAGAGACCAGAGGGGACCCTGGCAAGACGGGGTGCGGTGACACTGGGGAACCGGTCATCGGGTCCGGTACAGTGCAGGGGGTGGGGGAGGAAGGACTTCCTACAGACACCCGCGGTGACTTACTGGTAGGCAGAACTCCTCGAAGGCGGGCTTGACAAAGGTGGTGTACTGCGTGAGGATCTGCTCCAGGTCCCGGCCCCGCTGCACGTCCCGGAGCACTGCAGGGCATGAGCTGGGCGTCATGGGAGCCCCCCACCCCCCCAGCCAGCACATGGCCCCACATTGCCTAACCTCTTCGAGACAGCCTGACATCCGAGTCGGTGTCCACAAAGAGACGCAGGTGGAACATGTCCCGGATCTCCTGGCTGTAGAACACCAAGATGCCCTCAAACAGAACCACGTCCGCTGGGTACACCACTGTGGTTTCCGGCAGCCTGGGGGAAACGAGGGGGAATGAGTAGGCAGGCCCCGCTGGTTGGCCTGCAGTCCCAGGGCCCTGACTCCTCAGAGGGGACAGGGAAGGGGTGCATGGACACTGGCCACGACAGAAGGAAAGCTCACCTTGAGTGGGTCACAAAATCGTAAGTGGGGACCTCCACAGTTTTTCCCTCCACGATGTTCTTCAGGGTTTTGTGCATCAAATCATTATCAAAAGCATCTGCAAAGATGGAGTAGAGAGCAAGACTCCCTCGCTACCCTGGTGCCCAGGCCACAGCGGGGTGCCACAGCACTGGGACAGCCCCAGCCCTCTGCCATCCTGCAGACCGCGGGCGGCAGCTGTCCTCGCTGCCCCCCCCACCCCGGGGAAGGCGGAATGCAGAGGCTGAGTGGCCTGTGCTGGGGACTCGGCGGTAGTATTTTTCCAGGGCTATGTTGTTACACAGCAGCTCCCCAGCTTGGGATGGGAAAGCCGCCAGAGAGGCACCTCCGAGGGGTGATGAGAACCTTCCAGGCCAGTACACCACAGAGCCACAGGGCCAAGGGCTCTGGATCACCCTCTCCCGGGCCTCGGCCCCAGGGCGGGTGGGGGACTGAGAGGCCACTCTCGGCGGTGATCCAGGTGCAAAGGCCCTGCGACAGCAAGGCCGGGAGCCAAGGTGAGGGGCCTCTACTCCCCGCGCAAGTCCGGAGGCCCAGGCCCAGGGCGCGCTGGCCGCAGGCGGCCCGTACCCGGGTGGTCGAAGTTGTACTGTCCCTTCAGGGCCTTGGCCTTCTGCTCCGCCGTCAGCACCTTGTAGAAGCGGTCCTGGCTGAGGATGACCAGCTTGCGCTGCCGGTGGTCCACCTCGTTCTGGCCCAGCAGCTCCATGATCTTCTCACACACCGTGGACTGCGGACGGACGGACGGAGGGACACGGCGCTGCGGCGCGCGGCGCCCCGGCCGGCCCCGCGTCCCGCCCTCCGACCCCGCACCCCGACCCAGGGTCCCGCAGGGCAAGCCGGCCTTACCTTGCCGCTCGCCGTGCCGCCGCTCACCCCGATCAGAAAGGGCCGCGGCTGGGGCCGCTCGCTCTCGGGCCCGGCACCCTCACAGTCGCCGCCTCCCGCCGAAGCCATGTCCGTCTCGGCGGCCCCGCAACGACCCTCGGCGGCCGCTGGGGGCGGAGGCCGCGCGCACCGCGCTTCCGGGCCCGCGGCGCATGCGTACCGCACCTCCGGCGGCCAGCAGGCGGAGTGGGCGTGGCTAGGTAAGGGGCGTGGCGGCCCGAGGGGTGTAGTGGAGATGATGGATGGAAGGGCGGGGCGAGCCGAGAGGCGGGGTGTGGTGGAGAGGGTGGATGGAGGGGCGGGGCGAGCCGAGGGGCGGGGCCGAGGTCGCGGAGGTCGCTGCCCCGACCGGAAAGCCAGTCGCCGCCGCACGGGCCCCACACTGTGGGCGCTCCGAATCTCCACGAACCGGCAAATCGGTGGCCGCCAACTGCTCTCCCGAGGAGCCGGAGCAAGGGGTTGCGGGAACCGTGCAGGGCACGGGACCGGCTTGGCGGGTTCTGTGCGGCGGGGCCTGGGAGGACCCGCGAGGACCCGTGAGGACCCAGAGCTCCACCCGAGCTGCTGTGGGCCGAAGGCCGCTGACCATGACTGTGATCCCAGCTACTTGGGAGGTTGAGATCTGAAGATGGCGGTTCGAAGCCAGCCTGGCAGGAAAGTGCACGAGATTTGTCTCCAATGAATCACCCAAAGGCCAGAAGTGGGGCTGTGGCCCAAGTGGTAGAGCGCCAGCATGGAGCCAAAGAGCTCAAAGACAGCATCCAGACCCAGGACCAGCATGCGCACGCGTGCGCGCGCGCACACACACACACACACACACACACACAGTTGCACAACGCACTTTATCCTGTGGGCACCTGACCATTTCCTGATGGGGACATCAAGCAACAGAACAAGGCCTGTAGCTTGGACTTGCAGTTGAGACAGCAGAGCTAAGAGCCTAGGAAGCCAATCCACACCTGTTTGCACACTCCTAACACCTGGCAAGGCATGGGCTGCCCGTTCAAAGCCAAGAAAGGGCCTCGGATGGGGAGAAGGTCCTTGTAGTTGGTAGTTGGAGTTGAGTGTCCCATTAAGGAATTAAGAAAAATGCCGCACTTCCACAGATGCGTCCAGTACTGGTTCTGCCCGCAGCTGGGAGCCTGCTTGCCTTTTGAGAAGAAAGTGGAGTGAACCCCGGTCCATCAAGCTACAGGTGGTGAAGTCACTCCTGGAAGGTGTGGAATTGTAAGTCTGCCCTGCAAGTGAACCACACGTGGCACAGAGTCCAGCTGCGAAACTAAAACTGGGCTGGGAAGGTGGCTCCGTGGTAGAGTGCTTGCCTTGCATTCATGAGGCCCTGGGTTCCATTCCTCAGCATCTCATAAGCAGATAAAAGCCGGAAGTGGTGCTGTGGCTCAAGTGGTAGAGCGCTAGCCTTGAGCTGAAGAGCTGAGGGATAGTGCCCAGGCCCAGAGTTTAGGCCCCACTACTGACACCCCCAAAAAAGTAAAATGGGGCTAGGAAGGTGGCTCAGGGTAGAGTGCTTGCCTCGCATGCATGAGGCCCTGGGTTTGATTCCTCAGCACCACATAAGCAGAAAAACATCGGAAGTGGTGCAGTTGCTCACGTGGTAGAGCGCTAGCCTGAGCTGAAGAGCTGAGGGACAGTGCCCAGGCCCAGAGTTCAGGCCCATGACTGACAAAAAAGAAAAAAAAGTAAAATGGTCCTGACCAGCATCCTCTCAGGCAAAGATGAGAGCCTGCCCCCTTGTGGAAGACTCTGAGAAGCTGAGATGAAAGAGATTTCAAAGAGAAAGGAAAAGAAGTCGGGCTGGGAAGGTGGCTCAGTGGTAGAGTGCTATCGATTCCTCAGTACCACATATACAGAAAATACTGGAAGTGGTGCTGTGGCTCAAATGGTAGAGTGCTGGCCTTCAGCAAAAGATGCTCAGGGACAGTGCCCAGGCCCTGAGTTCAAGCCCCAGGACTGGCAAAAAA